AGCACTGTGCTCAGTTCTGCAAGAGAGAACGCAGCTGAGTGAGGAAGGACTTGGGGCCAGCCCAGTCCTCTTCTGGGGACTTTATCACAGCCACAGACCTCCTGACCATCCCTCCCCTGTGCACTGGCTCAATAAGATCCCAACCCTCAAGGCTGCAGAGACCACTGGGCCAAGGCTCACTGGGCCACTTCTTAGGGGGTCATCAGTCCTTCTGGATCTCTTTTATGCCCCTGCCTTGATTTGTGTCTGTCTACTCCCCACCCCCACAGCTCTGACTCCCTTCCCTTGAGCTACTCAGATACCTGCAGGCTGCCTGAAATCATTTGGGGATCCAAGCAGGATCTAAATCAGTTGTAAACAAACTATAGCCAGTGAACCAAATCTGGCCCGTCACCTTTAAATAAAATGTCATTGAACACAGCACCCTCATTAATTCATGAATTGTTTCGGCACTTTAATGCTATTGTGGCAGAGTTGAGTAGCTGACAAATCTTAAGACCCACGAAGCTGAAAATAGTCACTATCTGGCCCCTTAGGAAAGTTTGCCCACACCTCCTCTACACGGGGCTTTCATCCAGAATTACAGTCTCTTAGCAGGTGGGCGAGACCACTGTAAAAACAAGGGGGCAAGAGGAGAGGGGCACCTGAGCCTAATTGATGGAAGTTGGAGGAAATGTGCTGAGGAAGTGGTCCTGCCCACCTCACAGAGAAGGTGCCAGGTGAGCACAGTGGAAAATGGACGTGCAAGGTCTAAGCCAGGAACATGCAAGAGAGGTAGCGTCCCCCGCTCAGGACAGCACAGCCCTCAGCTCTGCTGAGGAAGGGGTCAGGCAGAAAGGAACTCTCTCCTAGAGGCAGGAGTTCTGTTTTCCTAGAAAATTAAGAGAAACCAGCAGTCCCCCAGCCTTCTCAATAGAGAGGCCAATCTCATTGTCATCTTTGCCCATGCAGGACTTCGGAGAGGATGACTCCCTGTACATCACCAAGGTGACCACCATCCACATGGGCAATTACACCTGCCACGCCCTGGGCCACGAGCAGCTGTTCCAGACCCACGTCCTGCAGGTGAATGGTTAGTAAATGGCTCCATGCATGTTGTCCCCTCAAAGCATCCCTAAAACACTGTCCAGGGCAACCTGTCACCCCCCCTTATGTATTCTGTTATCTGAAAGAAATATCTAACTCTGAAATATCCCATCTCTCTTATAACTAGGAGGGATGGTGAAGAAAATTAGTCTCCAGCCAAGGTCCCCTCGGATGAAATGCATCCAAGTGCCAGGGTAGAGGATGCCATTCAGGCAAGTCACCCTGGGCTCCTGAGGCCCCTGCAAGGCCACCGTAGAGTGTGGTGTGTCCTGTGGGCAACATGATGCAAGTGAGCAGCTGTGGTCTCTAGATCCCACAGACCAGAAGCTCTTATCTACTGCTGCTCTCCCAGGGGGCATGGAACTGAACCCCTTGTACAATTAGGAGGAATTATTTCCTCCAACAGAGACTTTCAAAAGGCTCAATGGGCCTCCCCTTAGGCTAAAACCAGGACAGAACCAGAACATGTTTGGAAGGTTTTCCTAAGTTTCTCAGGCCCTTGTGTTGCCAGCACTTCTGGAAGCTGAGAATTAACTCCCTCCTGATCATTCTGCCACCGAGTACACCAGTCAGTGTTTTCCAAGCAATTGTCTGGATAGTTCCTGTGCTAAGCACTGCATGTAGATCCTCCCAGTTGATATGTTTTTAACCCACATTATGGATGAGTTGCTAAGAAAAGTCTTTCACCTGAGGTCACACAACTGGTAGGAAAGCAACTCGGTGGAGTCAGCACCCAGCGCTGACCTCCACTTTGCATGCTGGCCACTCCAGCCATCAAAACAAACAGGCCATCTGATCAGCAGAATAGCCCCACCCAGCCAAACCCAGCAGGGCGCCCTTCTGTCACCTGGAAGGCCTGAGCAGGAGGTTCTTATGTCAGGGAATAGCGTGGAAGCGTCACACCAGCCCCTGGGGACTTTGTGCCAGCTGGTGTTCAGGACTTACCCTCCCAGGATAAAGTGAGCAAGATGTCAGAAATATCCCATCACCAGGTTCACCTTCACTGACCTCTAGGATCCAGGATGACAAGTCATTTAAGGACAACTGGATGCACTCAGTTTGCCTCTGCATTTGCTATACAGGATGTTTTAGGGACTTTCATATCCATTCATGTCCCAGCCATATTGTATTAATATTTCCCTTGAGTTTGGACATACTGAATCCATGCTTATTGGCTTGTGATCAAGTGTCTAGGTTTCACCAGAAATAACCCAACTTGTTTTTTAACACAAGTTACAACACCCACTGGATGAGCCAACCCATGCTGGGACACAGAGCTAGTCTACCATGCAGCAGGGACTGGTCCAGGGACACAGCTTGTGTTCTACTGTGTGAAGGAAGCTTCACTGTTTGACACTGGCAGGTGGCAACCAGAGGCTGATGATGCTCTGAATGTTTGGTTGCAAAACAGTTCTTGAGGGTTGACTGCAGGTCTCTCAGGTCCTCAGAAAAACCTAGGAAAGTCAAATCAACAGATACCCAAGCCCTTGCATCCAGCCCCTCCCCAGCCTGCTCCCACTTCACAAGAACCAGAGGACCCAAGGAGAGGGCTGGAACCTCAGGCTCCCTCTATTTCCTCCAAAACAAATCTGAAGAGGGCAGGGAGTCACCTGGCCCAGGAACCAGAGTAACTCACAGGTGAGAGCCTATAGATATCTCTGACTCGGCTCCTAGAGGAAACTCTAGAGTCTTAAATTCCTTGATAAATCAAGTGGCAAGTTCCTAGTGCTGGGCAGGCTCTTTTACCCCAAGTCCCCTTGGAATTCTGAGGCTGAGTTCATTATGTGGATGGAGCCAGTTCCTCACCTTTAGTGCTGAGTCAGGAAGAAGGACTCCAAGGGCCATGAGCATTTCTGGGCTTAAACACTAGCTCTGCCCACCAGGCCTGGGAAGGAGACTGCTTAGCTGGCACAGAAGAGTTCCCTTTGAATCTTCCCCACCACCCCCTCCTCACCAGCCCAGCCACTGCCTAGTCTCAGCTCCGGCAGCCGCTTTCAGCCCTGGAAATCTAAACAAAGAGCAGAACCTTCCAATTGAAATACAGAAAAAAGGCCACTTGAGATCCATTCCCTATTTGCTAAGAGATTTAAGGCTTCCTTCCCAGCCAAAGGGCTGTCAATAGAGTGGGAAGAAGCACCCTGGGGCCTCTGTACTTTGTGATCAGTTTTCTACCTCATTAAATCGGCTCACTGTGCAGGGCCCCATGGAGGCTGGGCTAAGCCATTAGGGTGACTCTAGCTCTAGAAGTCAAGAGGGCTCTGTGGGCTTCTGATTCCCAAGCACTTGGGGTGACATTTGAATACAGTTCTCAACTCCTAGAAAGAACCACCCATCCCAAAGTAGGCCTATTGTTGCCTTTCAAGGGTTATGACCTGCTGGCCCTGGAAAAGGACGGGATGTTTTCAAAATATTCCAGAAGTTAAACTTGCTGTGTCAGACTTGGAATAAAGCTGT